GCAAAAACCAAGGTTATTTTATCTTTTGTTCTGACGTACTTCTAACCATGTAAAGTGCGTTACTGTTCATTCAGGTTGCTTTGAAAATAGTTAATAGAGCAGCGCTCGATGAGGAAAATTTGATACGATTAGAGCGAGAAATGCGTATATTAAAACGCATTAATCATCCTCATATCGTCAAATTGTATGAGGTCAGTTCCTTGAGTCATCAGAATTGACTTCGTAAAAGCTAGCGTAATTGCAGATAATGCGCACTGAAACATCAATATATATAGTTACTGAATATTGTAGTGGAGGCGAACTTTTTGGTGAGTTCACTCTTATCGCTGAGTTTTTTTTTGAATTTTCCACCAATTTTCTCCAGAAATCTTAATAGAACGAGGTAGAACAGCCGAGGACGAGGCACGGCGATGGTTCGGTCAAACCGCATCCGCTGTGGCATACTTGCATCACAAAGGTTGGCCAGCTGTTAACATCAAATACAAAACATTGTTTGAGCGATCTTACTCGTTTCTGATTCCTACTTTTGTGTTGCAATCTTGTACTCTAATATTTAGGTATCGTTCACCGTGATCTGAAGGCTGAGAACATTTTGTTGGATAGAAATAGTAACATTAAAATCATTGGTGAGCAGATGATCATTGCAGTAATTGTCGAATATGCTTATTTTTCATCAAGATTTTGGTTTTTCCAACACCCAAGCGCCGTCGCAGCTTCTGCGGACGTGGTGTGGTTCACCTCCTTACGCTGCTCCTGAACTATTATTAGGTATGATCATCCTTTTTTCCCCAGTTTCGGACCTACTTTATCAATCTGGTTTTAAGGCAAAGAATACGATGGTCTTAAAGCTGATATCTGGTCTCTTGGTGTGATTTTGTACATTCTTGTCACGGGTGGATTTCCGTTTCCTGGCGACAACGTCGAAAATCTGAAACGGGCAGTATTGTCCTGTCAAATGAAAATCCCGTATTGGGTGTCCGTCGGTGCGTTGTTTAAAGAAATTGATCTGCACGAGCCTTTTTTATGCATTGTCGCATAGTGCACTTTTGCCTTACTGACTCTACGCTGCTGCTGGCTTATATATTGGCTTGTGTAGCGAATATATTTATACATCAGAAGTTTTTATGAGTTCAACTTTT